AATTTTTTCTTCATTTTTGCATTTTAGCGCCGCTAACTTGATTGAGCTTAACTCCGCAAGTCTTTCTATTTTCTATGACAGCTACATTTATCGACCTCCTGCACCATACTACATATCCATATACGAGCATGCAAATACATGTTTTTCGGAAGCAAAAACATTTTTGAGTAATTAAAAAAATCCGACTTGTACAACACAAAGTAAGAAGGTTTTTGTTTTAGACGTCAACATTAAAGTGTCACTCATGCGCCATGTATNTAACTCCGCAAGTCTTTCTATTTTCTATGACAGCTACATTTATCGACCTCCTGCACCATACTACATATCCATATACGAGCATGCAAATACATGTTTTTCGGAAGCAAAAACATTTTTGAGTAATTAAAAAAATCCGACTTGTACAACACAAAGTAAGAAGGTTTTTGTTTTAGACGTCAACATTAAAGTGTCACTCATGCGCCATGTATACTGTAGACTAAACCTGGAAAAGCATACAAATTTACTTACATACATACATATGTACATGTATACATATATGAGTATGAGTATACAAATTGTGCTACAGCAGCGATGCACTGCTCGAAAGAGCGACCCAGAAACGTGCTTCAAAAAGCAGAAAAAGGTGAAAACGCTAAATAGAAGCAAGAAAAGTCTAGTGAACTAAATTCGTGGCCACAGTGAGAGGGTTGAAGTAGCAGCCTCTGCTGATTTCCTTCGGTGAGAAGAATAAAATAAAAAAGCAGCGCAGGCAAGTAAAATGTAGCTCATTTTTTCTTAAGAATTTTTACGTGATCTGCACTTGGACTAGTTTCTTAACGTGAGCTTCTATCAACAACCAAGTCCATTTGCATAGTTTTTCTATGACTGAGGCATGTACATACGTATGTATGTATGTATGTAGGTAGATTTGGAAGCCTAACAGCAGCTGCGTGAAAATTATAAATGTCAACTCTTTGTAGTTACAATCTAGTTGAACACATTTGCAGATTTATTTTTAATTTTCATTTTACTTTCTAGTTTCCTTTTCTTCATAACAACCCCTGCTCGCATGCAAACTTTTTGTTCATTGTTAGCATTTACTTTCTTACTCAACGACTTTTATTTGGCTAACTATTAGGTCGGTTGTAAAACCACTTTTGTTGTTGTTTTTGTTTTCTGCTTCTGTCACTTCTTGTTCTATGTGCAGCAGCTCTATATACATACATACATACTTGTATACATATTTCGCACACATTTTTTGTTGGCTCTTTTCATACACATTTGGGACAAGTGTTATGCCACCATTATTTTACTCTAGCAACAAAATGCTTGACATTTTGCGTTAAGATTTCATTTTGCTGCAAGCGAAAATTGTGCAAAAGTAAAATATCAAAAAGTAAAATAACTAGAACTGCGTTTATGTGCGCACTTTATTGTTGAGAAAAGGTGAATGGCGAATGTGAACGGCAGCAGCTGCGTTTTGGACACTAACAACAACAAAATTACACGCTTCATTTTTAGTGCGCAATTTTACGCTTTTATGACAAGCAACGAAAGTTTGTATGTACATATGTACATTAGAGTGTTCCAAAAACTGTAAAGTCATAATTTGAATGCCGGGGTGACGGATTGTTCTATACCGAAAAAAATACCTTTTTTTTTATTTTGAAATCAAAAAATATTTACAAAGCGCTCAAAGTTTTTCATGTATTTTAAATGGGGAAAAAACAACTGTTCGTAGAAATGGTATAAAATTCTTAAAAATCAATATTTTTCGATAGGCGAATCTCTTCAGAAGATTTCCAGTATTAATACTTCATTTAAACATTTTTTAATACTTAAGATTTTTTATTGGTCCCCCCACTGCATTTTCTGTGGGTTTTGGCAGACCTAAGAAATATAGTTGCCATGAAAAAATTGTTAAAGAAAAAAATTGGGTATTATTATTGGGAATATCCTGAATATAAACAGAGTTTCCCGATCGAAAAATATTGATTTTGAATAATTCTACACTATTTCTACGAAAAGTTGTTTTTCCCCATATAAAATACATGGAAACCTTTGAGCGCTTTGCGCACTCCCTAAATATTTTTTTTTGTTTCAAAATAAAAAATTGGGGTATATTTTTTTCGGTGTAGAACAATCCAAGGGGATGGCGGGGTTAAAATTCCGACTTAACTTTTTCACATACATTTTTGGATCACTCTAATGTACATAGCTGTAAAAAAAAATAATAATTACGCAGATAAGGGTGTAGGAGGGTCTTACCAAATTTTCTTATAAAATTGTTTGCTTATTTAGTAAATTTTACTCTACTTACTTTTTACCAACTCTGTTTTGGTAATCTGCTCTCTTTAATAAATAGTACAAAATCCACTTAATTTTTACCCATTGGATCATATAAAAGCTGGTACTTGCCGGATAATAATAAAATTTGTGACAAAAACGTACCTCTTCCATGTTAAATGGAGCGCCTTCCACTGCATTTGCTACTAAAATACGAATATGCCCAGAGGGTTGACATTCATATGCATGCTACAATGTACATACATACATACAAACATAGTTAGTAGCAACTGCAGCAAATGTACTGCAAAATGTTAATGCTTGCTTTCAAGATGAGCGATCGCAGATATTTTTATTTTTGCCATTGTAGTTGTTATTTTTGTTTTTGCTTATTCTGACGTCTACTACTTGTACGTGCTTGCTGTCACAATATTTCTGTAAGTAGCATTAACGTACCAACGCGATGCAATGCGGTTTTAGTAAATAAATAGTTGCTGTCAAGTGACATTGCTGTGAAATGAAAAGCTCCGGTCTGGCAGCTACCATAGGGTAGTGTCAACATCGCCATTATGCATTTGCCGAGATGAAACCAGTGCACAGTGAGAAAACCTGAAAATGTCTACTTGAAATTAATTGTATAGCTTGTGTTGTATTTTATGATTGTTATCGGTTTTTTATCGGTAATTAATTAATGCATTTCAATGATATCCTTGTGAAATATTTTGTCACTTTTTTCTAGACAATCGTGATGAAAATGTGACGTGTCGCGAAAAAAGTTTTACTGCAGTAATATTATGTAATTTATTTTGGAACATTACAACATCGAAACCGGTTTGCCTTCAAACCACGCGTCGCAAGGAATGACGGAAATTCGTTCCAAAATAAATAACCCTGTCGAAAAAATCAATCAACACCAATATTATGTAAATTTGAGCGATTTTATGTCATCCCAACAACACCAAATATTCCATAATTCAAAAATTACCGGCATCTACCTATGTACAGCGTGGCGACGAATAACTGTTACCTCGGTTTTTTTGAGAAATAAAAGGGTCCTTTATAGATTTTGCGAAAAAAATACCTTATTGTTAATTTTCAACAGATTTACTCTTGNGTTTTTTTGAGAAATAAAAGGGTCCTTTATAGATTTTGCGAAAAAAGTACCTTATTGTTAATTTTCCACAGATTTACTCTTGGGTTGTATTAATTAGTTTTTAAATTTTAATCCTTATTTACATTTACCAGCAGTGTAAACTTTGAGAGAAAAGTTCATTTGGCACGCAGGTCTTCGTCAGTTAATTTATTCCATATCTTCTGTAGCCATAGGCAGATTTTCTCCATTTTGAGTCCCTTATACTTCCTCTTTTGTCCAACATAAGGCCTCATACTCATAAATCAAATAGACTCGGAACTGGTGACTAGGACGGCCATTCATTCGACCAACCTTATACAGTTTTTTTCTTTTTTGTATTTTTTTATACAAAGCCTAAGAAAAAATACACCTGAAAAAGACTTGCGTGCCAAACGAACTTTTCTCTCAAAGTTTAAACTGCTGGCAAATGAAAATAAGGATTAAAATTTATTAACTAATTACTACAACTACAGTAAAATTTGTGGAAAATTAACCATAAAATACTTTTTTCGCAAAATCTATCAACNGAAAAAATACACCTGAAAAAGACTTACATGCCAAACGAACTTTTCTCTCATAGTTTAAACTGCTGGTAAATGAAAATAAGGATTAAAATTTATTAACTAATTACTACAACTACAGTAAAATTTGTGGAAAATTAACAATAAAATACTTTTTTCGCAAAATCTATCAACGACCTTTTTATTTCTAAAAAACGGGGTAACAGTTATTCGTCGCCACGCTGTACATATATAAAAAATATGCTTATACAACTCTACCTTAGCTACCTTCGCATTTTTCATTTGACTATTCACAACTTTTTTATGTATCCATCGGTTTTCTTCTTCATAAGCTCGTTTTTTTTGTAAAAAAATTACATGCATTCCCTTTTGAAATTAAATTTTTGTTCCTGTTTTTCATAGAAAAAAGTGAAATGAANCATATATAAAAAATATGCTTATACAACTCTACCTTAGCTACCTTCGCATTTTTCATTTGACTATTCACAACTTTTTTATGTATCCATCGGTTTTCTTCTTCATAAGCTCGTTTTTTTGTAAAAAAATTACATGCAAAACAAGATATACAAAAAAAAATCCGTTATTTTTTACCTTTTCCCTTTTGAAATTAAATTTTTGTTCCTTTTTTTCATAGAAAAAAGTGAAATGATNTACAACTCTACCTTAGCTACCTTCGCATTTTTCATTTGACTATTCACAACTTTTTTATGTATCCATCGGTTTTCTTCTTCATAAGCTCGTTTTTTTTGTAAAAAAATTACATGCATTCCCTTTTGAAATTAAATTTTTGTTCCTGTTTTTCATAGAAAAAAGTGAAATGAAAATGTGCATGAATTTTTTTGTATGAAATAGGACTATGAAATAATGTTACTCATACGCCATATCGTACATGGTCGGTATTCGTATGTAAATCCTCGTACATGGGGTATGAATACGATGACCATTCGTACCGATTTTGGCGGGACAGTACTGATTTTGAGAAATTTGTCCCGCTGAATATTTTTAAAAAGTCGGAATGTACAATTCATGGATATCAAAAATATGTATAAGCTGTATAAATTGTACCTATGCAATTTTGCGATCATTTTTAAGTGGTTTTTTCTTTGTTTTAAATAAAACTGTATTGAAAGATGACATGTCTTTTTATTCTCAATACAAAATTGTATGTTCGGATTCGATGCTTTTGAAATGTCTCGATTTTTTCAATAAAAATAAAATTTTGAAANCATGGTCGGTATTCGTATGTAAATCCTCGTACATGGGGTATGAATACGATGACCATTTGTACCGATTTTGGCGGGACAGTACTGATTTTGAGAAATTTGTCCCGCTGAATATTTTTAAAAAGTCGGAATGTACAATTCATGGATATGAAAAATATGTATAAGCTGTATAAATTGTACCTATGCAATTTTGCGATCGTTTTTAAGTGGTTTTTTCTTTGTTTTAAATAAAACTGTATTGAAAGATGACATGTCATTTTATTCTCAATATAAAATTGTATGTTCGGATTCGATGCTTTAGAAATGTCTCGATTTTTTCAATAAAAATAAAATTTTGAAGTAAAGCGTTCTTGAAAAGTTTATTAAGATAGGGCGTTTCGAAATGGCTGCCATGATAGATCGATCTTCCACTTGGCAGTCGATATGTCATAAGTCATTTATCAACGCAATTTTGTTGACCAGTGTAATTACTATCTTTGAGCGAAAAAAATAATCAAGAAAAAATCATGGTCTCTGATCAAAAAATTAAAAACTATACCATACCATTGCTTATCAAAATTTTTTCTAAACATTTCAATTAAAAAGTTTGCTGAGAATTTTTTCGAACTTTCTATTTTTTGTACAAAGCTTGAAATTCGTACTTACATGAATTTAGTTAGATAGTGAGTCATAAATAAATAAACAAAAGAAAAACAACCAAACTTATTAAAATGTAGCTTCCATATTGATGTAAAAACATCAAAAGAATATTTTCCACGCACTAAAATACCGTCCTATGAACATAACTAAAGTTATGTAAAAAGGAAAATTTTGAGATACCAAGTTAACATTTTTTTTA